GGTTCACGCGTTCAGGTTGCCCAGGAAGATGCCTAGCATGAGGATGTGTTGAGGATGTCTCGAGCGAAATGCTTGTTTTCACGTGTCCAGCTCGCCAGGCAGATGTCTAGCATGAGTAAGTGTTGAGAACATCTCGAGCGAGACGCTTGGTCTCACCTATCCAGGTCGCCCAGGCCGATGTCTAACAGAAACATCTGTTGAGAACGTCTCTAGCGAAACGCTAGTCTTCACGTGCCCAGGTCACCCAGGCGGACGTCTAACATGAAGAAGTGTTGAGGAAGTCTCGAGCGAACCACTTGTTTTCACGTGTCCAGTTCGCCCAGGCGGTTGTCTAGCATGAGGATGTGTTGAGGATGTGTTGAGCGAAACGTTTGTTTTCACGTGTCCAGGTCGCCCAGGCGGATGTCTAGCATGAGGATTTGGGCAGGATGTTTCGAGCGAAACGCTTGTCCCCAGCACGTTCCGTAGCGCGTCACCTTGGCACGTCCCGTGGTGCGTCCCCATGGCACGTCCCCTGGCACGTCCTCTGGCGCGTCCCTTGGGACGTTCCGCGGCGCGTCCTCCTGACATGTCCCCCTGTCAATGAGCTCTGGGACAGCAACTATGTGCTCAGGCAGCTCGAGCTTAAAATCCAGAGCAGTTCGGTCAGGACTCGGATGCAAAGGAGGACTCGATCCATAACGCTATAGAGCACAATCGCGGCATGGCACATTTTAATTCAGCACGGCGCAGCACAGCATATCTCTCGGCACGGTTCATCAAGATCGATACACTCAGCATTGCAACCTGGCACGTACCTTGTCACGTTCCGTGGCGCGTCCCATGGCGAGTCCCCCCTGACACGTCGCGCGGCGCGTTCCTTGGCACGTCCCGTGGCACGTCCATTGGCACGTTCCGTGGCGCGTCCCTTTGGCACGTCCTGCGGTGCGTCCCCATGGCACGTCCCCAGGCACGTCGCTTGGCGCGTCTTTGGGGACGTTCCGCGGCGCGTCCTCCTGGCATGTCCCCCTGTCAATGAGCTCTGGGGCAGCTATTATGTGCTCAGGCAGCTCGAGCTTGAGATCCAGATCGATTCGGTCAGGACTAGGATGCAAAGGAGGACTCGATACACAACACTAAAGACCGCAACCGCGGCATGGCACATTTTAAGTCAGCACGGCGCAGCACAGCACAGCCTTCGGCACGGTACATCAAGATCGATACATTCAGCGTTGCATTTGCCCGTCGCCCAATTAGGTGTCTTTGAAACGTTGCCATGCCTTACGTTTCTATATTCCTTTTCGAGTTCGTGGGTCGATCATGTTTTTGTTTCAAGTTCGCCCCCTTTTCTACTCTTGCACAACGGGCCACACTTAAGGCCCCCCTCAGCTCCCAGGGACAGAACCCAGGAAGCCTTTGAGGACCTCAATTCGTTGGACACCTGCAGGGAAGTAATGATTTCTGAGTTTCCGCAGTTCCCTTTCTATGCGATTCCGAGGCTTGTTCAGGGCCTTCAAGCGAGTCCCTGGATGCAAGACAGGACAAACATGATATTTCATGAGTTAGCCCATCAAGCCTAGCTAGAACTTGAGCGCGCGCGAAGCGCGCGCGATGGTTCAGGTAAGTGTGCATGTATGTACGCATGTATGTATGTATGTATATATATACATAGGTGTATGTATGTCTGTATGTATGGATGTATATGTCTGCCTGTCTGTCTGTTTGTCTGTCTGTCTGTCTGTCTGTCTGTCTTTCCGTATTTGTGTATGTGCATGCATGCATATACACATATGTTTACACACATACATACACATATACATATACATATACATATGCATACACATATACATACACATATACATACACATGCATATGTTTACATTCACATCCAATTATATGTATAGAGCACAATGAACAGTGAAGCTCGTCGAAACCGCGGGAAGAAGTTGCCGGGGTCAGAGGGAGAGCTCAATGTGCTCCCCCAAGCAGTGCTCGGACTGACGGCCTCTGGTTAGGAGGGGGAGGGGAAGGAGGAGGCGGAGACGGAGGAAGAGGCATTGGAGGGGATGATGATGATGCTGATGTTGATGGTGATGATGATGTTGATGATGCTGCTGATGATGCTGATGCTGCTTATGTTGATTATGTTGATGCTGATGATGATGCTGACGCTGATGATGACGATAATGCTAACAACGATGCTGGTGTTGATGCTGATGATGCTGGTGATGATGCTGATTATGCTGATGATGACGATGCTGATGCTGATGATGATGATGATGATGATGATGCTGATGCTGATGCTGATGCTGATGCTGCTGCTGATGATGCTGATGATGATGCTGATGCTGATGATGCTGATGATGCTGCTGCTGCCTGCGCTGATGCTGATGGTGATGATGATAATGCTGCTGATGATGATGACGATGATGATGATGATGATGATGATGATGATGATGATGCTGATTATGATGTTGATGATGATGCTGATTATGCTGATTATCTTGATGGTGATATTGATGGTAACGCTGCTGACGCTGATTGTTGGTGACGATGATGATAATAACGATGATGATGCTGATGATGCTGATGATGATGAGGATGATGGTGCTGCTGCTGATGATGATGATGCTGACGATGCTGAAGCTGATGCTGATGCTGATGCTGCTGCTGATGCTGCTGATGCTGCTGATGATGCTGATGCTGCAGATGATGACGAACATGATGCTGATGATGAGCTGGAAATGATGGTGCTGGATGGGGCTGCTGCTGTTGATGATGATGATGATGATGATGATGATGATGATGATGCTGATAGTGATGATGCTGATGATGAGGATGATGATGATTATGATGATGCTGATCATGATGATGCTGCTGATGATGATGATGCTGATGCTGCTGATGATGATGATGATGCTGATGCTGATGATGATGATGCTGATGCTGATGATGATGTTGATGATGATGATGTTGATGTTGATGATGATGATGATGATGATGATGATGATGATGATGATGATGATGATGATGATGATGATGATGATGATGATGATGATGATGATGATCAGGAGGAGGAGTAGGAGGATGAGGAGGAGGAAAAGGATGATGAGGACGCGGAGGAGGAGGATGGGGCAGGCGGAGGAGGAGTAGGACGGAGGAGGATGAGGAGGAGGAGGAGGGGGAGGAGGAGACGGCGGAGGAGGAGGAGGGGAGGAGGACCAGGAAGAGGAGGGAAGGAAAGTGAGGAGGAGGGATAAGAGGAGCAGGAGGAGGAGGAGGTGGAGGAGGAGGAGGAGGAGGAGGAGGAGGAGAGGAGGAGCAGGAGGAGGAGGAGCAGGAGGAGCAGGAGGAGCAGGAGGAGCAGGAGGAGGAGGAGGAGGACGAGGCGGTGGAGGAGGAGGAGGAGGAGGAGGAGGAGGAGAAGGAGTAGGAGGTGGAGGAAACGGTGGAGCAGGAGGATGAGCAGGAGGAGGAGCAGGAGGAGGAGGAGGAGCAGGGGAGGAGGAAACGGTGGAGCAGGAGGAGGTGGAGGAGGCGGACGAGGAGGAAGGGAGGAGGAGGAGGAGGAGGAAGAGGAGGAGGAGGAGGAGGAGGAGGAGGAGGAGGAGGATGAGGAGGAGGAGGGAATGTGAAGAGGGAGGAGGACTTTCCCTCTTCCCTCGAGAAGTTATTTGCAAGGCAATAGAGGGAATGAGCGCCAGCAACGTGCATCGAGAGTCAGCCGTCGCGTGGCGGGCCGCAGCGCCGCGGGCGATCCTGTGGCAGCACCTCGAGGGAGGGCTGCCAGATCGCCACGGGTCCTTTCCATGGGATGTCGGGCGCGCCAGGCCCGGACGATCGCGCCCGGCTCTGCTATGCTGTCTCGGGAGGGAGGAAGGAGGAGGCGGAGGAGGAGGAGCAGGAGGAGGAGGAGGAGGAGCAGGAGCATGATGAGGCGGAGGAGGGAGGAAGAAGAGGAGGAGGAGGAGGAGGAGGAGAGGAGGAGGAGGAGATCAGGCAGGCAGGCAGGCATGCAGGAGGACGAAGAGGATGCATCCGGAAGGCGTAAAGGAGGAGCAGGAGGAGAAGGAGGAGGAGGAGGAGGACCAGTGTAAGGCCCAGACGCATCAAAGATGTGGCACTACACAATGTATCACATAGCCTCTTCATAGGTATCTTCAATCTTGTATGTTCATTGAGAGAAGGGCCCCATTGGACACCAACCTTCGGAGAATCCACAATCGTGCCACAACACAATTCCTGGGGTTGCAACGTCGCGAACAAATTCGACTTGGACTTCAACGACGCCAATTGACGTGACTGTTGCGTCCTGACAGTCCTAGACCGTGCCAGATCGTCAATCCTGGGACTTCAGCCCTACGAGTCCTTGAACTTGTTGCAAACTTTTAAGACGACCGTGCACGGTGCGGAGGCGAAAGCCACATTTGAAAGCAACCCGCCATCAACCCTTCACCAAGTTGCAATGGTTTAAAGACGGATGTGCTCGGCGCCAAGGTGATCGCCTCATTTTGAAAACCATCCGCCCTCCATCCTTGAAGGTGTTCTAGCATCTTAAGACAAACGTGCGCGGCGTCTAGGTGAGAGCCACATCTTGAGCACCATCTCGCCCTCGATCCTTGAAGTGGTCGTAGCAGGTTAAAACACATGTGCGCGGCGCTGAGGCGAGAGCCACATCTTGAGAAGGACCCGTCCTCTATCTGTGAAGCTTTTACAAATATTACGGTTCAGGGTCGTTCATGGTTAGGAAGTCTCAGGCGGAACGCCCGACCCGCCCTACCGAGACGTCTGGGGGTGCGGAGGAGGAGGAGGAGGAGGAGGAGGAGGAGGAGAAGGAGGACCGTGAGGAGTAGGAGGATGCGGGGGGATGTGCAGGAGGAGGAGGAGGAGGACGAAGCGAAGGACGAGTAGGGGGAGGAGGAGGAGGAGGAGGAGGAGGAGGAGCTGGATAAAAAGGCCTGGGCCCTTGTCGTCGTTGTCCCTCCTCCTTGGGCGGTGGGCGTCTTCGTCGTCCCGACCAGGGCTGCGCGACGAGAACCGGCGGACTCTGCGGAAGCTTACGCAGAGCAGCGCGGGCGGGGACGTGGAGGAGACGATACAGCAGGCGCATTCGCGCTCCTTTTCCCAGAGGGGGGAGGAGGAGGGAGGGTGAGGGAGGAGGGGAAAGGATTATCATGATGATGCTGATGATGATTATGATGATGATGAGGAGGAGGAGGTACGCCCAACACTCATCAACGATATTGCAATGAACCATCCCTCCAAGTTCCCTCCTCATGGGTCTCTACAAGGGTTCATTTTCATTGAGGGACGTGCCTCGTTGGAAGACAACCGTCTGAACATTTTGAACTGTGCCAACACATCGTCTTGTGATTTCAACGTCGCGAATCACCGTTACTGTCAAGTCTTGACGATTCTGAGTAGTGCCAGAACAGTATTCCTGGGACTTCAACACCGCGAATCGACTCTACTGTCGCGCCCTGACAGCCCGACCTCTTTGCCAAAACACAATTTCTGGAACGTTGACCGTGAGAATCCTTGAAACTGCTGTAAACTTTTAAGACGAATGTGCGCGGTGCTAAGGCGAGACGCCTTCCATCCGTGAAGCACTTGCAATTTGTCACGACGAATGTGCGCGGCGCTGATGCGAGAGCAACATTTTGAAAACGTCCCGCCCTCCATCCGTGAAGCTCTTGCACACTTTTAAGCGAATGTGCGCGGTGCGAAGGCGAGAGTCACATTTTGAAAACGGCCCGCCCTTCATCCGTGAATATCTTCCAATTTAAACGGGAAGGGCGTAGGCCCAGCGTTCTCTTTTAGTATTGCCCCCCCGGTTTCGACGGGAAGCGGGCCTGCGAAATTATTTGAAATAAATAATTAGGTAAAGTCTCATTCGGCGTGGACAAATTAAGGACGTCCCTCGCGAGACGCGTTTTTTTTCTTTCAGAATTTCTAGAGGATGTCTCGAGCGAAACGCTTGTTTTGCAGAGTGCGGGGATGTCTCGAGCGGGGGCCTCAACATGGTGGTCCTGTGCTGGAGCCTTGTGTTTTTACGTGTCCAGGCCACCCAGGGGTTGTCCCGAACTGGAACCACGTGGTTTCACGTGTCCAGGTCGCCCAGGGGGGATATCCAACATGGCGTCGGGCCCAACGCCGAATTATCAGGAAACGCACGGGGGGCCGAAAAGCGCTACCCGAACACATATCCCAATGCAGAAAAGTTATGTTTTATTGCTCTGGACAGGGGCTGGCGCTTTGGGGGCCTCTCCAGGGAAAACATTGCGAGGATGTCTCGAGCGGGAGCGCGAATTCAGCGTATCCAGGCCACGCAGGGGGGGTTCTAACATGAGTGTCCCGAGCTGGAACCACGTGTTTTAATGTGACGAGGCCACCCAGTGGGGTGTCCAACATGGTTGTACCGAGCTGGCACCACGTGTGTTAACGTGTCCAGGCCACCCAGGAGGGGTATCCAACATGGTGGTCCTGCGCTGGACCGCGTGTTTTCAAGTGTCCCGGCGGAACAGTGGGGACAGTGGTGGTGAGGACAGTGGCGCTGGGGACAGCAGTGGGGGATGTGGTGCGGACGGTGGTAAGGACCCAGAGTTGTTTGCTGGCGGTGAGCGTGGGGGGGAGCGTGGGGGGGGGGGAGGGGTTCGAACCGGTAGTGACCCCCCCCCTCAGTTTTCGAGGGAGGGGGGGGGGTTCGAACCGGTAGTGCCCCCCCCCGGTTTTCGAGAGCGGGGGGGGGTTCGAACCAGTTTAGTGAGGGGGGTTCGAACCAGTAGTAGTGACCCCCCCCGGTGTTCCGGGGGTGGTGGTTCGAACGGGTAGTGACCCCTCTCTGGTTTTCGAGGGGGGGGGGGCTCGAACTGGTAGTGACCCCCACGGTTTTCGAGAGGGGGGGTTCGAACGGACCGGTAGTAGTTCGACCCCCCCCGGTGTTCCGGGGGTGGTGGTTCGAACGGTAGTGACCCCTCTCGGTTTTCAGAGGGGTGGCGGTGGGCTCTCTCGGATATCTAACATGGTTGTCCCGAGCTGGAACCACGTGTGTTTTTTCATGTCCAGGCCACCCTGGGTGGTACAGAACCTTGTTGTCCCGAGCTGGCACCAGGGGGGGTTGTAGTGACCCCCTCTCTGGTTTTGGGGGGGGGGAGGGGTTCGAACGGTAGTGACCCCCCCGGTTTTCCCGAGGGGGGGGGATTCGAACGGTACACCCCTCACGGTTTTCAGAGAGGGGAAGGGGGGGGGGGTAGGGGAGGGGGGGGGGTTGCCGGGGGAAGGGGGGGGGGGGGTGTTCCAGCAGGGGGCGGGGGGATTTTCGGAGGGGGGGGGGGGACCCCCGGGTTCCGCAGGCAGAGGGGGGGGAATTTTCCATACTAAAGTGGCGGTGGATTACGCTCTCTCGGATATCTAACATGGTTGTCCCGAGCTGGAACCACGTGTGTTTTTTCATGTCCAGGCCACCCTGGGTGGTACAGAACCTTGTTGTCCCGAGCTGGCACCATGTGTTTTTTCCAACCATCCTGTGGTGTTGGGTCCTCGTTTTGAAGAGACGGTCCCCGCGTCCTCCTCTCCTCTCCTCTCCTCCTCTCCTCTCCTCCTCCTCCTCCTCCTCCCTCCTCCCTCCTCCATTTCGGCACACCCCTCACACGTTTCGTGGCCCCATAGGGAGCTCCACCGAAGGCCCCAGTGCTGCCGCCCGCATGCGTCACCCACACCCAATTCGGCACACCCCTCACACGTTTCGTGGCCCCATAGGGAGCTCCGCCGAAGGCCCCAGTGCTGCCGCCCGCATGCGTCACCGCACACCCAATTCGGCACACCCCTCACACGTTTCGTGGCCCCATAGGGAGCTCCACCGAAGGCCCCAGTGCTGCCGCCCGCATGCGTCCCGCACACCCAATTCGGCACACCCCTCACACGTTTCGTGGCCCCATAGGGAGCTCCTCCAAAGGCCCCAGTGCTGCCGCCCGCATGCGTCACCCACACCCAATTCGGCACACCCCTCACACGTTTCGTGGCCCCATAGGGAGCTCCGCCGAAGGCCCCAGTGCTGCCGCCCGCATGCGTCACCCACACCCAATTCGGCACACCCCTCACACGTTTCGTGGCCCCATAGGGAGCTCCACCGAAGGCCCCAGTGCTGCCGCCCGCATGCGTCACCCACACCCAATTCGGCACACCCCTCACACGTTTCGTGGCCCCATAGGGAGCTCCGCCGAAGGCCCCAGTGCTGCCGTCCGCATGCGTCCCGCACACCCATTCGGCACACCCCTCACACGTTTCGTGGCCCCATAGGGAGCTCCGCCGAAGGCCCCAGTGCTGCCGCCCGCATGCGTCACCCACACCCATTTCGGCACACCCCTCACACGTTTCGTGGCCCCATAGGGAGCTCCGCCGAAGGCCCCAGTGCTGCCGCCCGCATGCGTCCAGCACACCCATTTCGGCACACCCCTTACACGTTTCGTGGCCCCATAGGGAACTCTACCGAAGGCCCCATTGCTGCCGCCCGCATGCGTCACGCACACCCAATTCGGCACACCCCTCACACGTTTCGTGGCCCCATAGGGAGCTCAGCCGAAGGCCCCAGTGCTGCCGCCCGCATGCGTCACGCACACCCAATTCGGCACACCCCTCACACGTTTCGTGGCCCCCTAGGAGCTCCACCGAAGTTCGCGGTGGGTGTGCCCGCATGCGTCCCGCACATTCATGTCGGCACGCTTCGTGGCCCCATGGGAGCTCCACCTCACATGCGCATTTCGGCACACCCTCACACGTTTCGTGGCCCCATAGGGAGCTCCACCGAAGGCCCCAGCTGCCGCATGCCTCCCCACACCCATTTCGGCACACCCCTCGCACGTTTCGTGGCCCCATAGGGAGCTCCACCGAAGGCCCCAGTGGGTGTGCCCGCATGCGTCCCGCACACCCATTTCGGCACACCTCTCGCGCGTTTCGTGACCCCATCACACGTTTCGTGGTCCCATAGGGAGCTCCACCGAAGGCCCCAGTGGGTGTGCCCGCATGCGTCTCGCACACCCATTTCGGCACACCCTTCGCACGTTTCGTGGCTCCGTAGGGGGCTCCACCGAAGGGAAGGTCCCAGTGCTGCCGCCCGCATGCGTCCCGCACACCCATTTCGGCATATCCTTCACACGCTTCGCGGCCCCATAGGGAGCTCCGCCGAAGGCCCCAGTGGGTGTGCCCGCATGCGTCCCGCACACTCATTTCGGCACAACCCTCACGCGTTTCGTGACCCCTCACACGTTTTGTGGTCCCATAGGGAGCTCCACCGAAGGCCCCAGTGGGTGTGCCCGCATGCGTCCCGCACACCCAATTCGGCACACCCCTCACACGTTTCGTGGCCCCGTAGGGGGCTCCACCGAAGAAGATATTCACAATTGCGGTATTCACAATTGCATATGGTTGGGGGTCCTTCGCCAGGATAATTTTTATGTTTCCAGGCCACCCATGGGGCGTATGTAACATGGTTGTCCCGAGCTTGAGCACGTATTTTTACGTGTCCAGGCCACCCCGAGGCGGTATCTAACAAGATTGTCCCGAGCAAGGACTTCGCGTTTTAACGTGTCCAGGCCACCGAGGGGTGTATCTAACATGGTTGTCCCGAGCTGACACCCACGTTTTTACGTGTCCAGGCCACTCAGGGGGGTATCTAACATGATTGTCTCGAATTGGAACCACGTGTTGTACGTGTCCAGGCCGCCCAGGTGTGTATCTGACATGGCGGAGCCGGGTGCTTCAACGTGTCCAGGCCACCTAGGGGGTATCTAACATGGGCCTCCTGGGGCCTTCCTGGGGGCCTGAAACGGACGCCTAGCATGAAGATGTGTTGAGGATGTCTCGAGGAAGCCACTTGTTTTCACGTGTCCAGTTCGCCCAGGCGGATGTCTAGCATGAGGTGGCACGTCCATTTGCACGTTCTGTAGCGCGTTCCCTTTGCACGTCCAGCGGTGCGTCCCCGTGGCACGTCGCCTGGCACGTCGCCTGGCGCGTCCCTTGGGACGTTCCGTGGCGCGTCCTCCTGGCATGTTCCCCGGTCAATTAGCTCTGGGGCAGCTACGATGTGCTAGGCAGCTCGAGGTTAAGATCCAGATCAGTTCGGTCAGGACTCGGATGCAAAGGAGGACTCGATCCACAACACTATAGAGCACAATCGCGGCATGGCACATCACAGTTCAGCACGGCGCATCACAGCACAGCCCTCAGCACGGTACATCAAGATCGACAAATTCAGCATTACAATTTGGCACGTTGGCACGTTCCGTGGCGCGTTCCGTGGCGAGTCCCCCTGGCACGTCGCGCGGCGCGTCCCTTGGCACGTCCCGTGGCACGTCCACTGGCACGTTCCGTAGCGCGTCCCCTTGGCACGTCCCGCGGTGCGTCCCTATGGCACGTCCCCTGACATGTCGCTTGGCGCGTCCCTGGGGACGTTCCACGGCCCGTCCTCCCAGCATGTCCCCCTGGTCAATTAGCTCTGGGGCAGCTGCTGTGTGCTGAGGCAGCTCGAGCTTAAGATCCAGATCAGTTCGGTCGGGACTCGGATGCAAAGGAGGACTCGATCCACAACGCTATAGGGCACAAACGCGGCATGCCACATCGCAATTCAGCACGGCGCAGCACAGCACAGCCCTCGGCGCGGTACATCAAGATGGATACTTTCAGCATTGCGTTTGCCCGTCGCCACATCAGGTGTGTTTGAAATGTTGCCATGCCTTACACATCTATAGTCCTTTCCTGGTTCGTGGGTCGATCATGTTGCTCTTCGCTCACGTTTCGATACGTTTTCAGCGAGATGTAGTTTCGAAAAAAGAATCGTCCTCCATGTTCGCAACCGTCTCAGATGTTTCAAGGCCACTTTTGTTGAACTTGGCGAAACCTAGAGGGGCGTTTCTCCACAGAGACCTCCAGAGGCCCACAACAGCCTCGATCTCCCTTCCTCATCTTCTTCCTCCTTCCGCTGATTTCCCTCCAGCAGCAGTAAAGTGGTGGGAGGTACGAGGTGCCCATGCCACGCTCAGCGCTGCAGAACGCGGTGTCGATTTGGGGTAGTCCGTCTAGTGCATGGTAGCGTTGGTTGTAGCCAGCAGTGCGCGTTCAAATCTGCGCGAAGTACTCGACAAATGCAGTAGCATCCGCTCAGTGTGCAAACATGCACTCCTCGAGCGCGATGTTGTGTTTTGCTTCTGGGGGAGGGAGGAGGGTGGGGGGGGGGGAGGAGGATCCGCTACCGCACAGCATTGAGTTACAAGCGCGCAGTATGCCACGTGATGGCGCGCTGGCAGGAAGTGCATGCCAACTTGGATTTGTCTGAGGCGCGCTGACTCGCCTCCAAGCTGCCCTGGGTGACGTCGCACGTGTTGTCCGTCCCTCAGTCATCTGACAACCATCGACTGGGGAGGTTGCATGCTGCGGCGGTCGGTTTCAGGCTCTGGGGTTTTACGACATAAGGTTGCCAGAGTGTTGGCATATACGCTGTTCCACTCGTCGAGCTGCTTCTACGGCATGACGCTAGCGAATTTCTTCTTCGGTGTCTCATTCATTGAGAGCGTGTTTCCACTGTCTATCTCTAGCGCGCGTTCTCTCTCTCTCTCTCCCTCTCTCTCGCTCGTTTCTTTATTTCATTACTTTTGATTTATGTAGTTCTTTCTTTTTCCTGGAATGGGCTCCGGCCCAGGGTTCTCTTTTAGATGTTTACCCCCGGCCTCGACTTGCGTGGGGTTGGCGGAATGATTGTGCGATAAATAAGGTCGCGTAGGGCTGGCGGAATTGAATGTTGAGGATGTCCCTAACGACACGTTTGTTTTTGAAATTCCGATCGATCAAACACAGGGTCAAGTAAGCATTTTTGGGTGTTGCGGATGTCTCGAGTGAAACGCTTGTCTTTCAGAATTTGTTAAGGATGACTCGAGCGAAACGTCTGTTTTGTGCTATAGATCGTTCCTCTTCTGGGAACCATAACTCAAAGGATGTCTCAGGTGAAATGTTCTTTTTCACGTGCCCAAGTCTTGAGGATGTCTCGAGCGAGAAGCTTGGTTTCACGCCTCCAGGTTGCCCAGGCAGATGTCTAACATGAAGGTTTGTTGAGGATGTCTCAAGCGAGACGCTTGTTTTCACGCGCCCAGGTCGCCCAGGTAGATGTCTAGCATGAGGATTTGGTGAGGATGCCTCCTCTCTCTCGAGAGAGACGCTTGTTCTCACGTGGCCAGGTCGCCTTGGCGGATGTCTAGCATGAGGATGGATTGAGGATGTGTTGAGCGAACTGCTTGTTCTCACGTGTCCAGATCGCCCAGGCGGGTGTCTAACATTAAGGTTTGTTGAGGATGTCTCTCGCGAGAGACGCCTGCTTTCACGTGTTTAGGTCGCCCTGGCGGATGCCTAGCATGAGGAGATCTTGAGAAAGTCTCGAGCGAAGCGCTTGTTTTCACGCGGCCAGGTTGCCCAAGTGGATGTCTGCATGAAGATGTTCGGAGGATGTCTCGATTGAGACGCTGGCTTTCAGGTGTCCAGGTCGCCCCGGCGGATGTCTGGCATGAGGATGTGTTGAGGATGTGTTGAGCGAAACGCTTGTTTTCACGCGCCCAGGTCGCCCAGGCGGACGTCTAGCATGAGGATGTGTTGAGGATGTGTTGAGCGAAACGCTTGGTTTCGCGTGTCCAGGCCGCTCAGGCAGATGTCTAGCATGAAGAGGTGCTGAGGACGTCTCAGGCGAGACGCTTGGTTTCACGCGTCCAGGTCACCCAGGCGGATGTCTGACATGAGGATTTGTTCACGATCTCTCATGCGAAACGCGTGACGCAGTAAGGTGCGTCGCAGTCCAACCCCTCCCGTCCATGGGGCGTCCCCTGGCGCCCTGGCGCTGGGTCAGGGACGTTCCGTGGCACGTTCCCTGACGCGTTCCTTGGCACGTTTCCTGGCGCGTCGCCTGGCACGTTCCTTGGCACGTTCCGTGGCGCGTCCCGTGGCGAGTCCCCCTGGCACGTCGCGCGGCGCGTCCCCTGGCACGTCCCGTGGCACGTCCATTGGCACGTTCCGTAGCGCGTCCCTTTGGCACGTCCAGCGGTGCGTCCCCATGGCACGTCCTTTGGCACGTCCCCTGGCGCGTCCCTTGGGACATTCCGCGGCGCGCCCCCCTGACATGTCCCCTTGTCAAATAGCTCTGGGGCAGCTACTGTGTGCTCAGGCAGCTCGAGCTCAAGATCCAGATCAGATCGGTCAGGACTCGGATGCAAAGGAGGGCTCGACCCACAACGCTATAGAGCACAATCGCGGCATGGCACATCGCGATTCAGCACGGTGCAGCACAGCACAGCCCGTGGCACGGCCCATCAAGATCGGTACATTCAGCGTTGCAACCTGGCACGCTCCTTGGCACGTTCCGTGGCGCGTCCCGTGGCGAGTCCCCTTGGCATGTCGCGCGGCGCGTCCCCTGGCACGTCCCGTGGCACGTCCATTGGCACGTTCCGTATGTAGCGCGTCCCTTTGGCACCTCCCGCGGTGCGTCCCCATGGCACGTCCCCTGGCAGGGCCCCCTGCGCGTTCGTTGGGACGTTCCGCAGCGCGTCCCCCTGGCATATCCCCCTGTCAATTAGCCCTGGGGCAGCTACTGTGTACCCAGGCAGTTCGAGCTTGCGATCCAGATCGGTTCGGTCAGGGCTCGGATGCAAAGGAGGATTCGATCCACAACGCTGTAGAGCACACTCGCGGCATGGCACATTGCAATTCAGCACGGTGCAGCACAGCACAGCTTCTGGCACGGTCCATCAACATCGATCCACTCAGCATTGCAAGTGCTCGTCGCCAAACGTAGGTGTCTCGAACACGTTGCCATTCCTCACATGCCTGTATTCCTTTCCAGGTTCGTGGGCCGATCATGCTTATTCGCATGGTATACATATGTATGTAGGTATAACACTATATATACATATATGCGTATATTTATATATTGCATAAGCCGTCGTGAGACTGTGCGTACGAATGCGAAGATCTGCAACGAGCACCTGCAGCAGTGCACCTTCAAATGGCGATGGAGCATGCACCCAGGTGCGATGTTTGCTCGCAGACAGGACCAGTAGCAACAGCGCAATCAGCATACTTGTCGGGAGCAGTAGCAGGAGTGAGGACGGTGATGCCGCGCTGCCTGCCCTGGAGGTCGGAAATGCCATCGGCACCAACCGAGAGAGGCTGGAGAGGATCCTAGAGCGTAATCATGGGGAGCTAGTTCGGCTGTCCACCACCGCCGTCTCCGACATGAAGGAGGACGTTCTCAGAGAGGTGGACGAGGCTTACCTCGGGGAATGTGAGAGGAAAGAGACGTTGCTTGCGCTGACGCTCTCTCTCTATGGTTTGAGGAGTATGTTCTTCTCTCTGGCCAGTTGAAACCTCGGGCTGGAGCGTTGGGCATGGCCAAGCTGGTGAGGTTACAGGGGTAGCGCTTTACCACAGCGGTTAGGATTGTAAAATTGTCTTTGCATGTTCCGTCAAGGCCTTCCGCGGCCACGGTGCGAGGGCTGGGAGCCATCGTGTTCGTGCTCGTCACGGTCGTTCGAGCTCACGCCCTCCTGCGCGTTTGTGTCGTCCATCGTCTAGTCGAGGCTGTCGCGCGTCCGTCGTGATTTTGACATCGGCGGAGATCTCGATACGCTCCATGCCACACGGTGCTTGCTCACATCACTACCCATGTGCACGTTCGGCGGGGCCCGTCCAGTGTACACGTTGCTGCTCATCCAGACATGATGTGCCTCAGTTCAAACGGTCTTGGACGCTCTATTTGATTGGGCCTGCCTCCACCCAGACCCAGAGGTAGGGGGTGGGGACCACCTCAGCCCTGAAAGGCTGGTGGGATTCCCGCAGCTGCCAGCGCAGCATCGAGATAGTTCCACGATCGCCTCAGCACGGCTCCACCATGACCCCCCCCAAGATTTTGTGCGGGCCACTTGGGCGCTATGAGGAGGAGGCGCAGGAGCAGCAGGAGGAGGGGGATGATGATGATGAGGAGGAGGAGGAGGAGGTGGAGGAGGAGTAGGAGGAGGGGTAGCAGGGAGGGAGGGAGATGGAGGAGGGGAGGGAGGGAGGGAGGGAAGGAGGGAGGGACGGAGATCGAGGAGGAGGAGGAGGAGGAGGAGGAGGATGATGAGCGGGAGGAGACACGTAGGATGAGCGAGGAGGAGAGGGAGGATGAGGTACGAGGTTCGAGAGGATGAGATGAGATGGATGAGAGGATGAGGATGGAGCAGGAGGAGGATGAGGAGGGAGGGAGAGGTTCGGTGCCAGTCCTTCTCGAAGGCGCGAGTCGCAGCTGGGTGGGTGCCGCCTCCATGGGAAGCTACAGCCGAGGTGAGCTGTACAGGGGCTGAAAGGTGCAAGAAACTGCGCAACACTTGTGGCTGTGCGAAGGCCAGGACAGCCTCACCTCAGGCACAAGAAGTTGAGGGGAAGGACGCGAAACAAAAACATGAACAAGCGGGGCTCCAGCGGTCATCAACACAGCAAACGATGGACGTTCGCACTCGAAGCAAATACGGCGCTTTGAGAGAACACTGGCCTGCGACCCCATCGGGAGGGTGAACCACGGCGGGCCTGGTCGAGTGGGGCTAGGACGAGGATTAATCCGTTCCACAGCGTTCCGGAACGCTCTCAGAGCGTTCCAGGGCGCTCTGAGAAGGCCGCGGCGCCCGAGACATCCTCCAGAGCCGCGGGATTTCAGAAATTCTTGATTTATCCTCACCTGAATTTGTCTTCGTCCTGGCTTCGTCTCACCTGGGATCCCCAGAAGGAGGAGGGTAGGGGCCCAGTCTCATTACGGCTTGGCCCCCTCCTTTGGGGGAGGCTCGCCCCAAACAATCCGAGAAAGGACCTCCTCCTCGTCCTTCCTTCTCCTCTCCTCGTTTCCTCCCTGCTTCTCCTCCTCCTCCTCCTCTTTCGAAGCGGGGCGTCATGGCCGCCCCACCTCCGCCAGTCCTGGGGGATGGTCGCCAGTGTATTTTCACCCCGCCCATCTGGCGGCATCGACTTACCGTGGGCCTCCAACCGACCGTGGGCCTTGCTATGTCCCGAGTCCTTGACGGCAGGAGGGGCGTGAGGGAGAGGAGGTGAAGGACGAGGAGGACGAGGAGCGGGAGGGGCAGGATGGATAAGGGAGGGACGAGGAGGAGGAGGAGGAGGCGGAGGAAGAAGAGGAGTGCTCTGGGCGCACGCTTACGAGACCCGCTTGGCTTCTGATCAAGGCGAAAACGTATCAATGGACGCTGACGACTGATGCGCTCCAGAGGAAGCGTTTGCATGCTGTGCGTGTGTGTCGTCGCAGCAGGAGCATTCTCATGATCACGGGTGACATGACGCGTTGGCGTGGCAGTGCGATGGATACACACAGAACGCTTGCCCTCCTCATGTGCATCCAGTCGTGTATCGTCACAAGAGCATGGTGATGAGTGACATGGGACACGCCGAGAACGCGTCATGATGAGCATCTTGAGCACAGCATCGTTCTGATGATTGTCATGATGATGAGTGTCATGGAGCGAAGCCGGAACGGCTTCGCCAGGAGTTTCGCCTTGTGTTCGGGCGCCATGGCGGCGTCTAACTGGAGGACCTGGTCCTCCGAAACCTGACGCGCTGCGCTGACCCCCGCGCACGCCGACCGTCGGGGACGCGCAGACGGGGAATGGGGCGAAAAGGAGGGCCCGCCGTCACACCACAGGGCCTGCCTTCGAGACTGCTTTGCCTTCTTTGAAGCCTTCTCAGCAGATGTCCTGCCCTTCGAGTGCCCCCGTTCGCCCCGGTGTCATTTGCGCGCCGTCGACAGCGCCGCCTGCAGTAGGACCGACCGCGCGAGAGCAGACGGACCACAGCCCGCGGGGAGGGCGCGTGTCTAGCACATCCTTTTACACTTCCCCGCAATTGCTGATTCGGCGAGGGGGGGAAGACACCGCTGCACCACAACTCCAAACATAGACAGCATGGGGTCCAACTTCAGCAGCTATCCCAGGGATTCGTGCTCCAGGATGCTTGCTCTGGGATGAAGCATCCCATGCCAAGACATGCGGTCTGGCACTGCATCCGGAACAAAACAATATCTGGACGAACGTCAGCCAGAGGGAAGGAACAATCATCATTCATGTCGACATCAACGGTGGAAGCATTGAACCATTGCGTTCCGACCAGAATAGCACGAAGCATTGTAACGGCCTCCGCCAGGGTGATCTTCGCGGCTCTGTGGCCTCCTCCCTCTTCGATTCTTTTGGTCCTCTTTCTTCTCCTCTGGGGGGGGTGCCTGGAGCGGTCCCGGGGGGGGGGGGGGTGGGGAGGGTTCCGAGGGGAGGGTCCTGGGGGCGGTTGCGGCGGCTAGATCTGAGGGGGGTCCCTGGGACCCCCCGAAACATCTTGGGGATGCGCAGATCATTCAGAAAACGCCAGATGGGGGACCGCCCCCCCCCCTTCCCCCCTTCCCCGGGGGCGGTCTGGATGTGCAACTCATAAGGAACGCCAGATGGAGGACCCCCCCCCCTTCCCCCCTTCCCCGGCAGAGCCACCCCAGCGACCCCCCCAAGCAGAGCTGAAGTTCTTGCTTAGGCTTAGAGCTGAAGCTCTTGCTGAGGCTTCTTGTAGTTCACACGCCGGATCGGCGGATTTAGGAAGTAAGCTCAATTCTTCACGATTTTCATGATACAAAGACGCGCAACAGGATTACAGCTGGACGGGGGCGCTTCAACTAATTAAGATATGAGCTGGCACACAGTCGCTTCCCGCTCTGCAGTCGATTGAGGCTCTTGAACGGAACAATCACAACATCGGTGATGTACGAGTGTTCCTCTTGGACCCTCACCAGAGAGATGATCCTCACCTTACTGCGTGCCCAGCGGAGAAGGCTCAGGCTTGTAATAGGGATGCCACGGCATCGCAAAATACAAAAACCACGCCGGCGAGAAAGGCACCAGCGAAGCGGCCGGTACCGACCCAGCACCCCCCCACCACCACCACGACAGACCCGACGGCAGAGAAGAAGACGGGTTGGAACCGTGGGAGGAATGCTTACGAAGATCGACGCGCACAACCCTGCAGCATGCTCGGCGCGCAGGCGTGGACGACTGGCTTACGGTATACTGCAAACGGAAGTGGCGGTGGGCATCTCGCGTCGCAGCCTACGACTACGACAGATGACGCAGCTTTCAATTCACTGGGTTTCACGCGCCCACGACCCACGCCCAACCCAGCGGCGCCAAGGATGACAACGTAAAACATGGGATGCGAAGTCACACAATTCCTGCGCGCTGTCACGACGCACGACGGCGCCGAGGACCACAGAAGGTGGATACACATGTTGACGGACAACGAAGCATGATCGGCACTGGAGCCGAAATGTCTGGCAGATGTCAATGTTGGGGGTTGTGCGCGAAACTCCAACACCGCGGCCTGAGTTCCCCTCGCTTTGCAATATTTCAGCGGCGCTCTGGCGCCATCGCTGGGCTCTCGTAGGGTCGTTCCCCTGGGACGGGTTACCGTCGCCTCGCCTCGTCTCGCTTCGCCTGGGGAAAATGTAAGATCGTTCGGCCCAGTCACGAGCCCTTTGGACGGGAAGCCGTTCAGACGAGGATTTCGTGGTCATCTTCCTTTCGGTGCCTCGGGTCGAATGGCCGTTCGCCTGAGCTGCACCTCGCGATTCTCCGCACTGAACTTTTCAAGACGTCATCTTTGGTAAAAAACAATAGTGAACAATGACCCTTGTTATGTTCACCACATGACATCACCAATCTCGCTGCTTGACACCTGGTTGCCAGTGCTGCGTTCCAAAGCGCGCGGGGACGCACCGCTCCCTTACCAAGAGACTCAATACTTTCTTACATTCGCAAGCAAAACCCCCAAGACAAATGCATGCATCAGACTGTCCTTGTTTTCCTCTTCCTTTTCAGAACAGAGCAGGTCGCGTGCACGTGCACCCGATGCGATTCGGGGGGGGAGACGGAGGAGGCGGAGGAGGAGGAGGAGGAGGAGGAGGAGAAGGACGGCGAGGGTAGATCAGGAGGAAGGGGAGGAGAAGGAGGAGGAGGAGGAGGAGGAGGAGGAGGAGGGGGAGGAGAAGGAGGAGGGAGGAGGAGGAGGAGGAGGGGGGGAGGAGGAGGAGGAGGAGGAGGAGGAGGGAGGAGGAGGAGGAGGAGAGGAGGGGGGGGAGGAAGAGGAGGATGAGGACGAGGGGGAGGACGATGAGGATGAGGAGGAGGATGAAGAGGAGGAGGATGAGGATGAGGAGGAGGAGGAGGGGGAGGAGGATGGGGGCGATAGAGGGGCTAGGTGATGATACTGAAACCAAAGGCGAGAATGTGAAGAGGAAGAGGAGGAGGAGGAGAAGGAGGAGCAGGAGCAGGAGCAGGAGCAGGAGGATG